TACCATAAATATAGCCTAAAAGGTATTTTAATATTTAGATATGGGAAGTCTCCGTAACTATAAAGATTTTAAACCTAAATATTTTAGTGATTTCGAAATAAAATTGTCACTCAAAACTGGAACATAAGATCAATTTTCAAAGCAGGGTTTAATATTTAAGCAAATAAATAAATTCCATGCTCTTAAGCTGCCGACATTGTTGGCAAATTCGTATAAATGAAAACGTTTAATTGTGCAAATATATTCTAGAAATACGTGTAATGATTAGAGGAACTTTTTCCCTTTAACCGAATAATAACTAACCACATGTCCACTTGATCTTGCAGACCGCAGAGGGCTGCTGGTGGTACTACTTCTCCAAGTTCACCGAGTTCTTCGACACCTTCTTCTTCGTGATGCGCAAGCGGTACGACCAGGTGTCCACCCTGCACGTCATCCACCACGGCATCATGCCCGTGTCCGTCTGGTGGGGTGTCAAGTTCACGCCCGGCGGCCACTCCACCTTCTTCGGTTTCCTGAACACCTTCGTGCACATCTTCATGTATGCGTACTACATGCTGGCCGCGATGGGCCCCAAGGTGCAGCGCTACCTGTGGTGGAAGAAGTACCTGACGGTGCTGCAGATGATCCAGTTCGTTCTGGTGATGGTGCACTCCTTCCAGCTGTTCTTCAAGAACGACTGCAACTACCCCATCGGCTTCGCCTACTTCATTGGAGCCCATGCAGTGATGTTCTACTTCCTGTTCTCAAACTTCTACAAGCGCGCCTATGTGAAGCGCGATGGCAAGGTAAGAATATCCTATGTACATACCTAATTTTGTTTTGTTGCGTAACAAATTTGTAAAACAGTTTTATTCAGCTACATTTTCAAGAACTAGCCAGTCTTTGCCACTAAAATGTATTCAATTTTATAATATACACATGGTATAAAAATAACGATTTTTATATTAATATATTTTATGACCAAGTGGCTTTTTAATATTTTTTTTTAAATAATTAATGCTATTTGTTTTTTTGAGGTATAAAGTTTGACTACCGCTTTCTTCAGAACAACAATTGAATGAAAAACAAGATACTTTCGCAGAAAAAATAGTTAAAATACCTAAAAATCTTAATTCTTAAATGTAAATCTCAAAGTTGGACTTAACTTTGAGGTTATTTTTCTCAAAAGGATTTTTAGTTTCCTGCCGTTATTTTAAGTATGCAAAAATACAGAAAATAGAAGGGGTTGCATTTGCGATTGCTGCATTAAGACAATTTTTATTTACAAAACACCGCAGAAAGTTTTCGTCCTTAAAAGTAATCCAATTTAAACAAATACTACTTTATTTTTAAGTAATTTGTCTGTATTCGTAACGTTTGCGCCCGGCAATGGAATATTTCCATTGCAATTGGAGCCACAGCTTTCGTTTGGTTTACTTATTTTATTTTATTCAAAGCCAGTGGTCATTTAGGTATTAGACTTAGTTAGCTATTAGGCAGAGCCACGAAAATAATTTTCTCCTAATTTTTAGATTTGCTCTTATTTAAGTAAAACTATAACTTTATTATTTGTGAAAATCTATGTATTATCTTGTACTAAAAACTTCTTTATTGCAGGACAAGCCGGCGGTGAAGGCGAACGGACATGCAAACGGACACGCCAAGGCGCTGAAGGACGGCGATGAGGCGCCCGCCCGCAACGGCCAGGCCAACGGCTTCCACAACTCCTTTTCCAAGTTTACCACGAATATGTGCAATCCGGCCCTGAACTCCTCGACGAGACAGCGCGTGCTCGTGAACGCCGGCAACAAGTGAGCCCCGCCAGCCCGCCAGCCTGCCTGCCAGCCAGCCAGCCAGCCAGCCAGCCAAACATGAAACACACATAAGCATAAATTAATTACGCTACCAATTAAATTACCGTACATTTAAATTAAACGTAAGCATAGGGAGTCCAAGCCTACATCTAAGCCAAATCGAATTCGCAAACAAGATCAGTTAAAGACAAGGAAACACAAACATTATTTTATGGACAATCCATGGCGACCGCACGTATGGATCACACATCGCTGGCCAACTGCTCTGTCTGTCGATCATCCTTCCTTCCAATATAAATAAATCCACACTTGTCCCCAACGCCTTACACATCCCGTCATACACGTGCATGTACATAGATCGTTCATCACTGCTGAGAGTTTAAGCGGTTCTCGTGGCGATAACGCCGTTCATCTAATTTTAATACCTTAAAATACATCCTTGTTGAACGGAGCGATGGTCACTGACAGGCCACCGCTCGTTCGCCAAGCCGTCCCGCTTTACATACATATCTATCGCTCTGTACTTTTGTATTTTTGGTTATGCAAGCGAAGCTTTTTGATACGTGTATATTATTTCTATGGATTGTTTTGAACAAAAGAAATGTGTTTTTATTTTATAAATAAATTCGAGATTGAAACGTAGTAAGCAAACCATTGATAATATTGCAATGATTGGGTTTAGGGGCGTATATTTTCTGTACGCATTTCAAATAATTATGTTTCTCATTTGTTATCGCAGTGAATAAAGGCAATTAAGCCTTACGTTTATATCCTTGCAGAGGGTATTACAACATGTCCTATAACCCTATGAAGTATATATATATGCTTGATCAGCATCACTGGGACAGTCGATCTAACCATGTCCGTCTGGTTAGATTTAATGCTATCTGCATGAAGAGTATATCATAAAGCTCCCATAGGAACAATCGGGTAAAAAAAAATGAAAAAATTTTTTTTAATTTGACGAAAATCGCAAACCTTAAAGATCCCATTGAACACACAAAATTTTAATATTAAACAAAAATGAAAAACAAAAAAAAATTTAACATCTTTTATTTTCCATTTTTTTTTAAATTCATTTAGACATGGTAATGGTCTAATAATTTAAAACTAAGCTTTTAATTTTAAAATCGGAAAAATAGGAGCGTTCGTATAATAGAGCTGAAAATCATTATAGGTTAAATTTTTTAGACATTTGTATATTTAGTTCAAAACTTCGAGGTTTTAAGGAATATGTAATTTGATTAGAGAAGTTTTGAGTTAAACTCAATTATTTGCTCCACTCACTTAAAAGTTAGAATCTGAACTTGTTCACTACCTTCTGTCAAGATGTGGCGGTCGCCATCTGCCGTTTGTCGGCAGTACTAACAGTGGCAACTATTATACATCCATTTTACATGTATAATTACTCGATAAATTGTGAAAAATACTTTCATCATCTCTACGCTGGGTAAGTGCCTGTAAAAAGATTGCTCTAAAATGTAGAGTATAAATGGTTTGCTTGAAGCCAAGAAACTCCGAAGTCAATCAAATAAAACAAATAAACTTAGGCCAACAAAAAAAGGCGAAAGACCATTAATAAACTTTGTTTTGTAGAAGTTTCAAAGTTCCTTAATATAACTATTTATGCGTACCAGGGTGCCACCTAAACAAGGGACAAAAAAATAACTAAATTAAATTCCTAAGCAATTTAATTTTATTGGTTTGGTTTGCTTACATATTCTAGTTCAATTACGTCATTTCTAATTAGCTTGAACAATTTACCATGGCTTTCCAAAGGCATATATTATACCTATAGAAATTATTCTAGGATTCTATAATTGATAAAGCGATTTTCGGTAATTGCACTAAGGTATTGGTCATACCATACAAATATTAGCCAAACCCCCGACTGTGACACTGCACTGTATAAATAATTTTATAAAAAAATAAAATATTTCCATGCAGGAAGAAGCACCGGAGAGCTGTATATAACCATAGTATTATGCAACTACACTGCTGAGAACTCTTCCCCAAATTGTTGATGGTGGGCAGGTTAATATGTTATATATATAAATAAAACCTTAAGCTTGTTATGATTTTCTTAGAAACAAGTATGAATATAGAAAAATAAAACTTTTATTTTTGTCTGTGAACTTGTATTTATTATTTCCTTATTTGAATCAGAAAATAAATAATTATAATTTGGTTTATGTCACTTATTTTTGCATTTTATTTTTGTTTGATTTTTGAAAACTTTTTATAAAAAACAATTCTTGAAACAAAAACCTATTCTTGGGACTAGAAAATATAGATTTGTGTGACGAATTTAAGGATTTAGGGTTCATTATATTCTGACTGTAAGTGCGTAGTGAGCTTAAGTGAAAAAAGGTTCAACAACAGCTTAAGTTTATTTCCGTCCGCTCAAAAGGTACTTGACCTGGATGGACTGATATCAAGTCACCACGCCCCAAAAGATGTCTGAAAAACAAAGTAAACTTATTACAGGAATAGTAGGCATGTCAGGTCATTATGGTTAATGAGAAGATGTATGGGCATATGTACACCTTCTGACGAAGTTTGCCATAAAAAACCAACCTGCAGAATCTTTTCCTTGCAACTTATGCAAATTTTTTACCAATACTTTGTTAGCAATGAGCAGACGGGAACACGAACACGACGCCAGGAACAATTATTCAATATAAGCTAATGAACAGCTTCCGACCGATTCTTATTACCTAGGGCCTGCGTGAAGGTACAGCTAATTGGGAATAATATGCTCTTTTTCAACGTGTTTTGAACAGAGATGTATTCGTTTTAGCATGCTTATTTCCTACATTTAGAACACTGTTTGAAAACAAGAAGATCTCGAGATCTCGAAGTTCATTCGCACTGACAGCCAGACGGACATCTCTAGATCGACTTGTCTATTGATGCTGATAAAGAATTTTTAGGGTCGGAAACGCTTTCTTCATGCTTTTCAACGAATATAATATACCCTTTTAATCTACGAGTAACGGGTATAAAAAGCTTTGCATCGAAAATGATAAATAAATTTCGTGCATATCATTCTAACACAATTAAGTAAGAACATTTTTGAAACAAGAACCATTTAATGGCCGTAAAAAATTGCAATAATTATTTTAGTTTTATCTGTAAGCCGTAAAATCTAAATTATGCGAAGCGAGAATCATTTCACGATCCGCAGACGAATAACAGTTCGAATTGACATTGCATGGGATAAAGATGGTAGTGAAGTGCTTTAAACTGTTCAATAATAGTAACTTATTTTATTCTCCCAGCGACTCCTGACCGTCGTGTTGGTATGCTGCGCCGTGTTTGTGGTTCAGCCCAACGTTCTGGAAGCTCGAAAATCTCTCAAAGGACACCACAGAAGTCGGGGGAAACCAAGGCATGTTGTCGTGAGGAGCAGAACTAATCAAACGGCAGGAGGCACCAGTCAACTTCAGTTGGGCGACCTCACGGAAATGTTCTATAACCACTGCCATGATATATTTAAAGAGAAGAATTTGGTTGGGTACGTGATTCGTGGCATGATCGGCGGGATTTTGGACCGACTCAACGAAGTGTGCGTGGACAAGCCCATCCATCCACTTATCCACAAAATCTTCACGCAAACCCTTCTATGTGGTGGTAGTCTCTCGGAAGCCGTCGACAGTGTCATTGACATTATATTTGGGCAGTTCGAACGAAAGTGTAGGGAAAAACATGGATTCGAAAGCCTTTATGTATTAACCAGTGCGGAAAATGAAATTGTGGAGACAAAACAATTAACTTAATTCGCAGCTTTGCCTTTGAGAATAAATAAAATGGTTTCCGACATTATTTTTTTCTTGGGAAGTCGGCTCTAATAATTACTAATTGGGACTTTTGTAAGGAAACTTCGTATATGTTCTACAAAATATGATAACAATTGTTTTTAATCCTTTAACAAAGCTATATTTCAGCTGAATAACCAACTACTGCCCTAATCTAAGTCACTATTTGTAGGCCAAACACTCTCCAGAAAACAAAGCAAAACAATTTCCGTTTCAGTTCCTTCAATTACTGTCACTGTTCATTTTTCTGAGCTATGCGTTCTTTTCGGTGGCAAACGCATCCAGACCGGGGTTAAAGTTTTTCAGAAAGTGCAGGGACCTTGCGAATCGATCGCCCACTTCATCCACGCTGGGCAGGATGGCTTCCAATAGAATGGGGACCACTTGCTCGCCTACGGATTGAAAAAGCTCAGCGATCTTGATTATGGTGGCCGGGTCTGGCAAACCTGGAATGCCCGCTCGAGCCGAGGGGGTGTTGTCCGCGTCCACCTCCCGTCGCCGGCGTCTGTTTTCGTCCGAATCCTCAACCGTTTCCTCGGAGGAGGAGTCGTCGTCATCGCCATCGCCATTTCCATCACCATCACCCTCCTGCTTGATCACCACCTCTGTCTCCTCGGCCACCGTGATCACGTCCTGCAGATGGATTGGAACAATCAGATTTGCAGGGCTTATCCTCGTTAGTCACCTGTGGCCTGGCCTGCGATTGGGTCACCACTTGCAGCATCACCAGCAGGAGCCCGGAGAGCAGCAGCTGTCGTCCCACGTGGAAGCCCATTTTGGCAACTTGGTTGGGTTTAGTCACCCACCTGCCATATATATAGCTCCCACTTAACGAGCTAATGGCACTTGCATGTCGCCTAATCGGAAAGGTAATGCGGGGTAAAAAAATTGATCAATTTCCATGGGGCCCAGCCACTCCAATTTAAGTTCCAATCGCAACCTTGTGGAGTCGGCAGACTTTCGCACACGGGCGACACAGCGAATTTGGCCAGGAATGTGCCGACGAGTGCAGTTTTGCTCTGGGCGGGGCGGCTGGCCAGAAAACCCGCTCGACCAACATGGCACTTGGGCGAGCGGGAGAGATCAGGTAGAAGGTGGGCAGCCACGCAGACAGGTAGTTTTGGGCCCGGCTCAATCGCCGCTGGCCATAAATCGTACTTACGCACACGGAACGCGTTTCGTTCACAGGTATCATTAAATCAGATTCGAGGAGCGATTCCTATCGGGCTGAGCCTCTGGGGCGAATGCACTGCCAGCGTTTGTATGCAACTTCAGTTGCGAATCAGACCTCTTGCCGGACAGGTCTCAGTGAAAGATACAAAAAGTGGCAAAAAATTAAGGGGATTATGTGCAAATTTTGGAAATAAATTATATTCAAGAAGTTGATTTTTTAGATTGAAGCACTATAAAGCACGAATAATTATTTTCTTTTAGTATACTTTTTATGCTTTAAACCCAATTTACAGAATTAAAAAAAAATACCTCCTACAACTCAAAGAAAACCATTACCATGAATTTATTTTCACGATTGAAGCGATTTGGTGGGGTTGCCACAAAGGTAAGTACATAAAACAAAAATATTTTTCTTTGGTTTGTAATAAACAATAATATTGCAGAACTCCGTGACGCTTCCAGTTAGTGGTAAGTTCCTCTGAACAAGCAATTCAAATTTCGCGGCATTCAGCATTTGGATTACTCAAAAATGCGCTAATGTCCGCCAAACAAAAAATTGTATGACCCTTGCAAAGCAGTATTTTTAGTGTGACCATGTTGGGTCTCACAAAATATTTATCATCCCACAAAATCAAGTCATTTGTACAGAATTTTTCAACGCGTTCACCTCGCTAATATTAATTTACGGTGATCTATTTCAGTCGTGTCTAATAGTTCCACTAACGCAGCTGCCGTAGCACCGACCGATTCCGCTGAAGTATATAAAACTATAGCTGAAGATAAACTTCTGGCAGGCAGTTCGAACGCCGTGAAAGGTAACTAAACAAAGCAATATTCCCAACAATATTCTGAGAAAATTGGAAAGCTGACGTAACAACGCGTACCATTTTCTCTGGAAGCGTTCAAAAAAAAATGTATCTAAGTATCTATATTTAAATTTGGCGTGCATGTGTGTGTCTGGGTTCGTGGTGGGTGTATGGCTGTATTGGTACCTTATCAATGTTGAGAGATAAGAAAAGTATGCAGAGCACGAAAGTTGATATTGACTTTGTATCATACTTCCGCTTCATATAGCCACTTATAAGGCGCAAACTCAAGGCGTGGCTCTTTTCGGTTGACGTCAGCAAGCATCCACGCGAAAATCCCAAACGGAAAAGTGGGAGTTTCCCCCCTCCATCTTTCGTGAACAACGTGAAAGTGTGGCTTTTAATTTCAACTTAACCTTACAAAGCTCGCTCTGTTCTCTACAGAAAGTGCCAGCAGTCGGGCTTTGTGCTCGAGCTTAATTGAAACTGATTAAAGCCAATTAACCATTGTTAAAACGTTCACTTTTCAGTCGACATGGTCCAGGATGAGAAGGTGACCTCCAACGATGGCGCCGACGAGCAGATGCTGGGCTCCAACGGAGTGGAGGACAAGTTGGCCGAGCGACGCGACGAGGTGAAGTTCATCAAGGGCGATCACCAGAACGGCGATGCCAAGATCGACATCGGAACAGTCAACGGAGGCAAGCCAGTAAGTAGATAACTTAGCGGTTATGGTACATTTCGAATGTAATCGCAAAGACTGATTTTGTTTTGTGTCCTAAGAATTATCAATGTATGTAAGGACTAAACAACAAAAATGTCTCAATTGTTCTTATCTGGCTCGCTGAAGCCCAATTTTAGTTTCACAAGTTATGTGTTTTGCATTGGAAGGTGTATTCCAGGCTAGCACTGAGCTAGTAGCTAGACGAACATGGCTAGATCAAGTCCCCTGATGATCCTGATCAAGAAAATATACATTTTATAAGGTTAAACATACATCCTTCAATGCGTTTCAAGCTTCTAGTTGAAATTGTATCTTCCATAACTAGAATTAGCATCACACATATTAGATTAGATCTTTATTTAAAGTAACATTTTTATATAAGAACACCTTCCATTGAAAACTTTCAATTTGTTTCCACATTGCAGGCCTTCACTGGCATGAGCAAGGAGGAGCTGATGAAGTATGCCAACGATCCGTTCTGGGTACGTCTTCGCTGGATTTTCTTTGTGTGCTTCTGGGCCATTTGGGTGGGGATGCTGGTGGGAGCCATTCTGATCATCATCGGAGCACCCAAGTGCGCTGCCCCACAGCCACTGCCCTGGTTCAAGCGCGGACCCCACGCCAAGTTCGGCAGTGTTGAGACGTGCAAGCCACAGGACGTCCAGACGGCCAGGAAGATTGTGGCCACTGGAGCTATTTACGAGTTGCCAGCTGCCCTGACCTACGACGTGCGAAAGCCCGAGGTAGAGGAGCAGATCAAGCACCTGGTGGCTCTGTACCAAGGCAGCGATACCAGCGTGGTCCTCGATATAACGCCCAACTACGCGGCCAAGGAGTCGCGCCTGGTGCAGGATGCCATTGCCGATCCGGAGAAGCGATCCGCTTTGGTTTACGTCCCCGGAAGAACCAGCCAACCCAACAACTGGCTGAAGGTGGGCGGCAATCGCAGTGCCTGGGAGAAGCTGGACGACAACTATGTGCTCTCCCAGTTCGAGGAAGGCCACTACGACCTCAAGATGAACAGCACCATCATAAGGAACGAATTGGGTGGGGTCTTGAAGCATCTGGTGACTTTGGGCGTTCGAGGCTTCCGACTCAAGAACAGCAAGTTCTTTGTGCTGTCCGACGGTCTGGAGGATGAGGTGAACTCGGCGTTCCCCAAGGACCTCAGTCTGGGAGCCAATGACTACGGTTTCTACGACCACAAGCAGACCACTTTCCAGTCCGGCCTGGGCGATGTCCTCTATGACTACTTGACCGTCGTGAAGAACGCTTCCGAAGAGGCTTTCCTCTCGGTGGCCGAGGACGTGATCCAGCCGCAGGTCTATCTGCTGAGCGAGGTTCCTGGAGCCTATGGCATCGACCTGCCCATGTACGGTGACTTCGTGAAGGTGCTCAGCAAGCCGAAGCCGGAGAAGTCGCTGCAAAAGGATCTCCAGAACACACTGTTCCAGGCGGGCAACGACAGTTGGCTGCAGTGGAACTTTGCGGACGTCTATGCGGACACCCCGCAGGATCCATCCGCTCTGGCCATGTTCCTCTCCCTGTTGCCCGGCGTGCCCGTGGTGTCGGTGGATGCAGTGGCGTACCAAAACGTGACCGAGGAGACCTACAGGCAGATCACGTCTCTGCGCAAGTCTGCATCCTACATGCACGGAGAGCTGAAACTGTTCAATGCCGATCCGCTGGTGGCCTTTTCCAGGTAATCCATGTTTTTGATTGATTTATTGCACTTGCAACTAACTTTTGTCCCTTCTCCATGCTTGCCACTTGAAGGCAGAGGTAAAAAACTTGACTAATCTAAAAGAAATGATCTTAACCTTTTGCCACATGTCCATATTGTTTTTAATTAGTTTATTTAATTAAATAAGTTATATTTTACTTTTATTTCTTTATAAGTTCTGGAACAATTTTTCGATTTGAAACCCATAAATCTTCCTCAGCCTATAAAAATTAAAATAAAACTAAAAATGGATACAAATTAATGGGCTCTTGCAATTGATTTTAAAAACAAAAGTTAAACGATATATTTATTACTATAATTTCCCTTAAACATATACAAAAATTTGTTAATTAATTTTTTTTTTAATTTAAAATGCTTTTGGTATTATTGACCTAACCACAACATTGCACTTTCCCACAGGATCAAGTCTGGAAACCCCGGCTACTTTGTCATTTTCAATCCAACCGACTCCGTTCAGATTGGCAACTTTACAGCCGCCGAGAATCTGCCGGAAAAGATGACAGTGTCCTATTTCAGCCAGAACTACAACGACAACATCGAACTTTCCGGCAGGGTGTCCCACTCGGCCAAGGTGAATCTCACGGAGCTCAGGGTCGCCCCGCACTCCAGCATCATCCTGACCTATGTGCCAGTGAAGTCGGAGTAAAATAAATGCTCCAGCGCCAATACAAAAAAAATTATAAATTTGTATACAATTTGTATTCAAAAAGATATTTGCTTTGCTTACCGTTGAGATTTAAAGCCTCCAAACAAAGTTTATAAAATTATTTATTGAGAACTTATCAGAGTTTTCTGCTTGTTCCAACGCTTGCTAATTAAATAAATAGAATATTTGCTTGCATTTGAAAATACATTGTTTCTAAATGGGTTTTATTTTAGAATTTAAATGACAAAATGTTGTAAATTATTTGAAATATTTATTTTAATACCCTTGCAGAGGGTGGGGTGTTATATATTCAGTAAAAAGTTTGCAACGAAGTGAAGGAGAGATTTCTGAACCTATTAAGTATATATTCTTGATCAGCATCACTAGAGTGGATCTAGCCATGTCCGTCTGTTCGTCCGTTTCTACGCAAACTAGACTCTTAGTTTTAAAGTTGTTGCAGGTAACAAATAAGTCGGAACAAGCCGGATCAGACGACTATAGCGTATAGCTCCCATAGGAACAATCGGGGGAAAAAAAGAAAAAAAATTATTATTATTATAATTATATCGAACACATCCCAAGAAATCTATCAAAATATTACAAAAAAATAAATTAAAAAAAATTATATTCTATATTTTTTAAATATCTCTTTATTTCTGTTTACTCTTTTTATTTTATCGGAAATCGGAAAACAATAACAAAGCTGCATTAGGAACGATCGAATAACTTAGCTAAAAATCATCAAAGCTTCAATGTTTTTTAACATTTATGTACACATTTAAATGCTTCACAGAATAGTTTATTTTTGCTAAAGCTGCAAGGTTATTTAAACTTGGTCTAATCGAAATTTGCTTCATTTCTTGTTTAGTTTAAATTAAGTCTTGAACAACAATTGCTTGGATTTAAATTTATCCTTGCACCGTGTTTGAAAAACGAAAAAACGTTTGACAATGTTTACATGGGTGTTCTTATACAAAAATCGGTAATAAAAAATTGTTTCATATAAAAATGAAACATTTTATTCAAACTTTTTCTTTTTTCAAGAAATATATTCAATTTTCAAAAGAAAATATTAAAAACTCGGTTTTTATGGCTTAGTTTCCGGCAGTCCCTTGTAAAGGTCTCTTCGCTTTAACAGCAGAACTTTTTGCAGGATCAGCAAAAGCAAAATATAGAAAAGATGTGAGAATGGTATTTTTGGTAGACATTTTTAAAAAAAAAATTATAAATTTTGTAACAACAATTACAACAATTTAATTGTTTTAATTGAAAAAATTGTTCGTTCAAGACCTTGTGAATTATATCTCGACCACCTGTGCAAAATTTCATTAAGACCGGTTGAGTAGTTCGCGAGAAATCTTGCCAACCGACTTAAAAAACACAGTTTCGAGAAAAACGAGTTTAAAATTTTAAGTGGCAATAAAAGTGTGAGGCGAGCCCACAAATTTTCATAGCTGTATCTCTAAACCGTCACGCAAACCAAATTGAAAATTTAGGACAATATTCTAGACATGCTATAGAATTTGATAAGAAAATAAGAAAAAATCCAATTTTGTGAAACCGTGAAACTGCATGGCAGCTCTCTCTTTATCGAAAAATTCGTGTTTCAAATGTTGGGGCAACCAGGATTAATATTACACTATGCATTTTTCAAACACTTCGTATTCAGATTTAATACCAAACTAGGAAGAAGCCAAATTATTTAGCCTTTGTGGAAAAGTTTGAAGTGTTCAAAGAAAATAGTGGAGGAGTGTGCATGGTGCATACGTGTGTGGGCCAACTTTGAGATACAAATAGTTTGGACGAGCTGGCAAAAACAAAAGGCTGTGCGGGCAGCCACAGACAAATAATCAAAATCGACAAACGAAATGAGCCAAAAACAAAGCGGCCAAAATGTTTTCAGTTTGCACAGTCCTGGTTCCGAATGGCAGCCTGGGGAGCAAGGACTGCACACCCCCATCACACACACACTGAACTCGTACCACCGAAGGCCAAAAGGATATGCGCACGTGCTAATGTGATTAGATACACAGACACACCAGCGCGTTGGAAAAGGCGACTTGTTCGAGGAACCGCAACATACAGTGCAGTTGATTGCGGCAAGCCGGCTACAATAACAAGAAACTTCATTTCGGGTATCTCTGAGATGCAAACTATTGTTGCGCAGGTCATCATCATCGTCCATATCATCATCGCCATCAGCATCTTGGGGCTGCAAACTTCTGGACTGGGACACTGCCCCTTTGACAGCATCGCACACCAAACCAGAACGTTGGGATGGCCTTGTGTGAAATTATTTTGTCGCTCCAACTTTTCCATCAGGCAGTCATCAAATGCAGCACCAACCCTTCAGGACAGGTCAGCTCGGGCCGGCCACTGATTTAATTGCAATGTGCAACACATCTGCTGCGATGTCACCAGCGCGCAGGGATGTCAGAAGGTCCTTTTATCCTTGCTGATGGCTAAGGGGTTAATTGTTTTCTAAAACCTGCGTTGATTGTTGGCAATCTCCCACATATATGATGTTTTGTAATTCAAAAACTTCAACCAGTTGCTATTAAGAATGAATCCTACGATATTATTCTTAGATTTTATTCAAACAATTATGGCGATCAATCATTCAAATCGGACACAAATATTATTTTTAGAGATGGTAGAGAAGAAGCTTAGTTTTAAAATTCTCAAAGATACCTCTATTTAGATACCCTATCTTGAAACAGGGTAATAAGCAGTGGATAGCTCAGAGCGAATATTTTATACTATAATCTTAAACATTAGGTGACATGTTTCACGTTTCCTGATATTTGTTTTTTACTTAGTAAATGTTATATGTTTCTACAGTATTTCACTCAAGGGTTATATACAGTTTTTGCGGTTACCACAATATATTTGGACTGCATCCTCCAAAATTTAAAAATCAAAGAGAAGTCGTTAAAGTATCGTCGAATCTAGTAATTAATCGAAAGAATAAGCAAAATCATTGAAAATCATTTTAAAATTTGGGTGTAACTTCGAAAATATTCACCGGAGCGATATGAAGTTTTCAGTGTGTATTCTTAAATAAATGTAGACAACAAAATACAATGAAAAAAAATAAATGTTTCAAAAATTCTAACTGTATACAACCCCATAATGTAAATAATTGTAACTTTTTTAGTATTTCCTTGAGAGTAATGAAATCACTAGGTAAATTCATTGAATTTTAATCAAAACATTGCTGGGGAGCTCTAAAGCACACTTGATAGCCTATTAATATGTGTCAATTATAACACGCAAGACACCAGGCTAAGCTTAAAACCCTAATAGAACATTCATTTGAAGGTTTTACATTGGATTATGTAGCACATACGCATCAGAAACAACAACTCAATTCGAAGGGCAAAAACAACAAAATGAGTCGACTAATTTGTATTGATTTTTTATCGGACATGCGATCTCCCTTTTTTCTTGCTTCCCTACTTTTTTAGCTCTATGTTGTTGGTGCGTTTGTTTGTTTGTTGGTTTGTTTTGAACTTTCCCATGCATAAATTTAGCATATTAATTGAGCGACTGTCATCAATATGTCTGTGCCCACCCCGGCAACCCCAATGCGACTTCCCCTCCTTGGGCTCCGTCACAGCATGACATCATTAGTTGGCCTAAAAAATCCCATCATGCTTTGATTAACATTTTGTGCACACAAATGCCGGCCAAATGTGAGAGCGGCTAAATGAGTTGCATCTAATTGAGTGACAAACACACCAGAACCACCGGCCACCTCTCACAAACTGTGCCAATTTGTTTTAAAATGCATCGCCCTGGCGCTCAATCAGCCCGGACTTATCCCACTCCAGAGTCCAGAGTCCAGAGTCCCGTGTCCATGGCCTGCTCTCGACTGTTTTTCAATTTGCATGCAAGCGTAAATTACTCTCTGTTCGAGACCCCTTAACACCTCCTGGAAGAGACGTTCCCAGTCCCCACACGGATTCCTCCCGCCGGTCGGCTAAAAGGTTTGTCCTTTGGCTACGTTCTTTATGCAGATTGCCTTCGCTTTCGAGGACTGCTCCATTCGTCCTCCTCTTTGTGGCTGTCTGCCGGAATCTTGTTTTAAATAATTCTGCGTATCTTGGTTATGCACATAAAACACGTTTTTTGGCACCCCATTTGTCATTAAGCTACCAATTTGTTCCGCTTCAAAAACATCTCAAATTTCCCATCGATTAGCCGAAGGGGGAAACTGAAAATTAACCAGGTTAAGAGGCAGAACACGAAAGATCAAATAGACTTGCGAAGATGTACCAACTCTTAACCAATAACGGTAGAGATTGGAATATAAGAATCAGGGCCGTGAAACCATTTCGATTTGGCTTAGGTTCGGTTCGGGGTTCGATCTTAAACGATTGTTAAGGTTCCGGCTTACGAACCTGTTTGTTGATATGCTCGAACCTGATTCAGATCCGAGCCGGGACTAAAGAAACAATTTTTTTTATACAATAATAATTCCGACGCAGATAGCTTTAAAACTGAGAGACTAGTTTGCATACAAACGGACGGGTGGATCGACTCTCCTAGTAATCGAGAATATATATACTTTATAGGGTCGAAAATGTCTTCTTCACTGTGTTGCAAACTTCTGACTAAAGTTATAATACCGTCTGCAAGGGTATAAAAAGCTACATTTTGAACCAAAAAAAAAATCCGACTCAGTCCAGTTAATTTAAGAAATAGATCGTCCGGAGTGGTTCACAGCCCTGATAAGTATACCAGGAAAGCATTTCGATTGCGTTCAGTTAAACAAATTTTTAAACAATTATAATTACATTTTGAAGTCATCCTAATATTTTTTCCTTAATAATTGTTAGAGAATTTATTGTTACCTTACTTAAACGTAAAAAACCCGCCGTACAATTTTAAACAAAATTTCTGATATTTGAATTTATAAGATTAAGCTTTAAGTACCACCCTTTTAATTTTATTCAAATCGTAAGATAATATCATAAAAACATTCATAAGAACGAACGAATACTTTAGCTGAAAATCATAATAGCTTTAATGTTTTTAAGCATATACGCATATAAATCGAAATTTATATGTTTAAAAGAATATTTCATTTTCGCAATAGCTGCATGTAAGGGTGTATAAACTTTGCCCGGTCGAAGTATTTTCTTCTCTTGTTAATAAGTGAATTTAATAGAATAATTAATAGAACTAGTTAGTATTTTTCAAACATTTATTGGTAATTAAACAGTAAGATAAATTATAACAAAAGTTGTGTTATGAGATTTTCGTAAAATTTGTGTTTTATTCCCTAAAATTTGTAATTTATTTAACTGTTGCCTAAAAAATGGGTCATATTAAAAAATCATATTTGTATGCAATATTTTATTCTGGGTAAACTATTATTATTATCGCAGATGTATATACATAAACAAAATCTATTAATCCCGTAAATACAATTTATTTTAATTTCACATTCGAGTTACTTTAAGGTAAGAAGAAATTAATGATAATTGAGTCGATGTCAATATCAGCCCTTTAACTTGTAGCGAATGTATTGTACATTTGCATGCTCGTGTACACAAAAAAAATTGCAGTCAATCTGAGAATATTTGTTCTTAAACAAAATTCAAGATCAAAAGTTTCAGTTCAATTTACTTAGTTTGAGTACAAATTTTCAAGAACGAAACAACTCAAATTGAGTTTTTCGAGCATTTTGTTCTCAAAATGAGAATCGGTTAAAAGGTAAGGTAAGGATAAGGTTTGTTACTTATACATATGTATACAAATTTAGTTTTAAAACGACCCCGTTCGTGTCGTTTTTTTGTGTTCACTATAATTGAGTGATAATTTATAATAAATTTTTCTTGTTATTTTACGTGTTAAACAAAATCAATTTACTTAAACATTTCAACTATTTTCATTGAAAAGGTGAATTTGTATTTTAAGCAAAATAATTGCGGTAGTCTCTTAAAAATTTCTCAAATTCAAAACATATTCTCAATTTAAGTATTATTCTTTAAAGGAGTACAAGTATTCTCAATCTGAACTCTTGTGCAGTATCTGTACTCAAAATAAGTATATTCACAATTTGAGAATTCCAATTCTCAATTTCTGAATGCCGGAATTTTCTCCGAGTAGGACCTTAACCCTCAAAAATGCCTTTTAATTTAAGACCTAATCAAAGTTGCTCCAATTTGCAATTTAACTATTTCACGGAAGCAGTTTTGCCTTCGTGCAGATATGCGCTCGATCCCTTCCGAACTAGTCTTTCAGAGGAAATGCAAACAGACAGTTTGCGATCTGGGCGCCAGACACGTGTACGATTCGCAGGCCCAAGCAACTCGTCGGACACCCAGTTATACAGGAAAAAATATATGTGCTGTGGGTGCACTTCAATAGGAAAAGTCCAACAATTCAAAACGAAATCATCGAACTTTTAAATTTGATATTAAAATATAGAAATTTAACTTATATATAAAAATTTGCCCTAAAGTCGATTATGCCGATCTGAAATTTTGTTCTCAGGAATTTGAAGTACAAGCAATAATAATTATATTATCTCGTTTTTAAAAGCATAATTCAATTCAATTTTCGTTGATCTATTTGAAATGCGAATTCGGACTAGATATCGATTTGAATTTTGTTTTCTGTGTACCATCTACCCACTGCCGCAAACCAAGCTTCATCTCATTCGAAAGCCCTCAAAGCAGCTAACAATGTACAATGTACTTGTAGAATGGCCGTAACAATTATAAAGCACGAACACGAGCCGCTGACGGGGCAAGGCGATATGAGTGGGGAAAGGCGCGTGGGGCAATGTCTGCGGAGAGAGACTGCGGTTGGCATCTTGGATTACCATTACGTGGCCGGGTCATCCGGAGAATTCAGCACCGCGCACTTGGCAGCATTCCCCGGTGTCGTCGGTGTGTCGGGTATCTTGGTGCGGCTTTCGAGGTGACAACTGCGACAGCAAAACGTCAATTTGTATAAATGTTTGCAATTGCCACCGATGCGGTGGAATCGTTAAAAATAAAACATGCTGAATAAAAGTTGATCGAAGCGGGGGTCGCACGGGTCCTACGGAAAGTATCTCGAAGATGCAGAGAGTGGAAAAGGGAGCGAGAGAGCGAATCATGAATAAATATTTGCCGGCTTCTTTGCAATTTGCATCATTTCTCTGGTTGTCCGAGAATTTGTTGTTTGCTCTTCTGCCCCATGTTTGAAAGCGTTTTTTGAGAGAGAATTCGCTTAAACGAGTTTCGAATCGTCTCCGTGTCGTATCTGCGAGGTTCTTTTCCCACACCGCTCTTAGCTAATTGATTTATGGGATTGCAACTGCAGATGCCTCCAGCTTTGCTCTTTCGACACTCCGCCACAAAGTTGGCTAAAATTCGTGCGAGCCAAGTTATGAATATGCAGCATGTGCGCCCATGTAGTCAATTGGATTCCAATGGCGGGCAATCGGCATATGATGAGATGTTGTAAATAAGTGCTAATTTTTGTATGAGATTTTTAGAACGAATGTATCTGTTCTTAGATACCTCTTTTCCATTTGGATTCTGAAAAAAAGAGACTACCATACATAAAAAGGTTGTACATAATAATGATTTCCTACCAACAGAAGTTTGGAGGTGTCACAAAAATCTCTTTTCACCAAATTCGGTTGATGTTACCTTTGTTGTATATGTTAATTTAAACGGATCCTAGTTGGAACAGATTTCTATGACTTCCCCGATAATTTGTTACTTAGACTTTGGATTCAAGTTGTGGAAAATTTCTGCACTTATATATAGATAGTTCTGACAAATTTGTGCAGTAAAATTGAAAAGCAACTTTTCCCGCCTTATTATACTTTAGAGGCAAAGTGTTTAAGCATACCTGCGATACAGTATTTAAAGACCGACAACCGCGTAGTGTCAAAGGCGACTTCTACTCTATATATACGTAGCCGCAAAATTAAAAATATAGCCACTCTCTAAAATGGTCGATAACGACTGGTACACCGATCGCTTTAAAATTGAGGTGGGCATACCAAGACTTAAAGGTTACCAATTTTTTCAGTAGAATGCTGATAGTGAATGTTGGAAACGACGGGAAATTCAAAATTAAAAAGATTGTCCGTTATTTTTGTGTGTATGATAACTATTTTACTGTGAAAAACAATTACAAGCATCAAAAGAGGTCAGGGAAGATGAATACTTTTTTCATAATTCTTGACAGCAGTATCGTAATACACTCCACTCCACTCCATTAAAACACTACGCACAAATATCGGACCCTTTTCCTACCGCAGCACTGCACCGCAACTCTCCTTGCAAACATGTTTGGGAGTTTGGGAATAATTTTGGGAGTGGCTTGTATCGCCTGCGGGGGAAGTCACTTTTAGTGGAGCCGGGAATCAGTTCAATTATCTGCTTTGGACTGAATAAACGATCCTGACTAATATAACGGCAGCGATGAAAGGGACCTTTGAAAGTGATAAATGCGAGTGCGACACACGCAAATTCAGTGCGTCTGGAGCCGGCAAAAATATTCGAATCAGCCCAGCTGAGTGGTTCGACCTACATCGTATTCGATTCTCCCCATATCTGACGATTCTTCAAAGAAAGAGAGTGCCGATTTACGATCGACATATGCAAGCGGAGACGTCAATGGACGGCAACAAAGTTGCTCCACTCGGGTTGGATTTCTCGCAGAGATTTGCGAAGGCACATGGACTGCTAAGAGAACATCGCTCAGAGAGGAAGAGCTCCGGCTAAAAGAGCAATGCTTTTAGCGTTATGGGGCAAATGCACTTTCCGCTCTCGCAGATCAGTTCGGCTCACTCTCTCTCTCCCCCAAGATGCTTTCGATTGTGCTCTCCAAATGGCAATCTGTATTGGAGCTTATTAGTTTGTTAAAACAAAACAATTGATCTAGTTAATATCATTAAAAAAGTCAAATAAATCAAGCTTTCACAAATATTTTGTTTTCCAAATAAAAATACATTTTCATGATCTAACTAATCTTTTGTTTAAATTCAAAATTATATTCAATAAATGGAGTGCAAAAATAACCAAATGCAAGAATAAGATGTATGGATTGTTTTCCATCTAAAACTGATACATACTGTTTTATTTTTTTTTTACAAAAATGTTTACCTATCTAGGTATTACCATATATAAGTAATAAAAGTAATAAATAATATTTTTATTAATAACTTTCTTTGTTTAAGCAAATTTAAGAAAAATAATAATGAAACTGCATGGTATACTTTTAAGTAAATGGTCAGTTTGTACGTTTATACAAACAACGTTCCAAACTCAACACTCAAACGCCCACTCTAACGCCAATAAATCGCGAAACTCTGCCAAGTCCACCTTAAACTCGATTGTTCTCTGGGGGCATTTATATTTTGAAACTGATAGGCTGAGTAACGGTTATTTTATAGTTTGATTGCTGATAGCAAAAAGCAAATCAACATAACTTATTTTCTGAGAATCTTTGCCATTATGGTTGTTTAGAAATATTCTGTTTTGAAATTGCTAAAAAATATGGAATAGAAAGACGAAAGAGGTTTCTGGTCTATAAAATGTGTATATTCTTGATCAGGATCAAAACAAATAGTTATTTCAGAAACTATCAAGAAATCAAATTCACTTTTCAATAACATCAGATAAATGATATTAACGCAAGATGGCGCCACATCTTAATTTTGCCGTCACAACTAAAGAGAAAATGGAACAGGAATTGTTGTTTTTGAATTGTAAACAGAGTTACAGGTATTTGATAGTCATGGCACTAGCATTCCTTAATGTTGTAGTGATAACCTCGCAAACGGCTTATCAGTATGCTCATTTATAAGCAGGGAAATGACTAGCGAGTGTATTTCATGATTGGCAATCGACTCAACGATTTTCTTGCTTTATCTAGACGTGTGAACTTGGATGATGTGCAGAACATCCAGCAGTCGTGCGAGCCGGTGGTTTTATTTTGCAGTGCACCGGAGTGCAAACATTAAGAGCATGACCATTGCGACGTCAGTCGGTGGGCCGTCTCTGTGCCAGCAACACAGCAACACATGCTCAGTTCGAGGTCCGCCCGTCCGGCGTCCGTCGTCTATCCGTCCTCTCAGTTCCTCTGGTTTGGTTTGACTTGGTCGTTGGACTGGTCCGGGTGCGAGCATGAGTATCGTGCGCCCAGAGCTTTGTGTTCGTGGATCCGCAACCAGTTTGCTGGCACCAATCGTCCTTTGCGCTTGTGCACGTCGCTCTGGTGCGTGTGGGGCGGTCCGCGTTCCGCGCTCGAAATCGCAATCTCAACAAAATTGGAGCGAAATCAGTTCCGAACTCGTGGCGATAGTTTTCCAGTTGTGTGTAGTTTCCGAAAATATCTGTGGTATGCGCGGACCTACGGAAAACCTGGACGAACGGAAAGGTTCATACCAAAGAAAGAAAGTCGTTTCGATTGCAGTTTGCACTGTTTAAAATAGCAAACAAAATAAATAAGCACTGTTTTACCGGCTCCGCGCCACACTCTCACTCTCGGTGTCCACCGATCTCCTCTCCGCTCCGCTCCGAGTGCTATTTTCTCTCACATCGCTTGCATAACCGAGAGCAAAAACAGTACACCTCGCCGAGGCAGATTGCAGATGCAGATACAGATACCGCGCCTAGTAGTGAACCTGCAGATGCTCTGGCGAGCGCATGCAATTGGCATTGTCTGCGGTAAGTGAACAGTGAGTTATGACCGCTCTGCTACCAAGTGTGGCACCCCGAACGCCCCTCCGCTTGCCATCCCATTTGCGGCATTGGGGGCGTTGCAAACTGCCTTGTAATTACCTGACATAAATGCTCGTGTGTACAAGGCTTAATGGCAATACCGGCAAGTATGCTTCGCGATTGCCATCTACAGGGGGCAGGGCGCAGGGGGCAGGAGCAGGGGGTAGGGGGCAGGAGCAGGGGGCAGTGGCCGATGGAAGGGGCCGGCCATTGTCTGGCTACCAAATTGAACAGGAAACGTGCAACAGGTCGTGTTTAACAGCCGCATTGGAAAGACTCCCGTGTAGCGCCATGGGATTCTAAGACACCATGAGGACGAAACAGGCGATTGCGGTGGTGATCGGTGATGGTGCTTATAAGGCAAATTGGATTAAAATCCGAATAGTTATGGGGAAAATGCAAATAGCAAATGCAAAATTCAACTTGCTTAAGAATTCGCTGCAAAGCCTAAGAACTCGTATTTAAATAAAAGTTCAACACAAGCTGGTTCTTCTCACCTAAAATCGATTATTCAGAAAACCACTCTTGCACTCTTTTTTTGATTCAAATTTAAGTACTCCCTATATTTTAGTTATTCATTAAAGTAACTTTCGATATCAGTTGCGTGATAAGCTTACAAAGTTTGACAAAAAAGTGTATTTTCATGTTCTTTGACTGCTTGCTATCTCTATGATATAAGTGGCTTTTTTGATTGAAACTATTGAGCTTTGTAAATATTCAGTTTTCCTTGTAATTTGTTTTTCTAATCTTTACAAATAAAAATATTGTCCAAGGATTTAAATATTTAATGTGGGAATTTGGTGATGAATTTTTTTTAGTGCACAGTCTTTATAAACTCAATATATTTTATAATCCGTAGCTTACTGGCAATTATTATTCAAACGAATTAAAGCGCTTCTATAACGTTAATAACCTGAAGTGTTTGCTTATCGGGATCCCTTCCGCTTTAATAAATTTACTTGAGCAGACATGCATAAGCTGTAATCAATTTTAATCCGCTTCTCTCTTCGCGACTGAGCGCACTTGGAAAAGCTGTTTCCCTTGATATTTTGCATTTCTTCCCACAACTCACCCGTCGCATAATTAGCTAATATTGACTCGCAATTTTGCTGATAGCCTCCATGTCTTTCTCTTTACGTAGCTCTTCAGAGCAATTCTTTCTCTCTGGGTCTCTGGACAAACACAAATTAGAGGCAACATGCAAGATAGGCGATCGTGTGCACTTTTTGAATACAGGGGCAGAAATAACAACGTTTTGCCGTAGCCACCGGGGAGGCGGTGGTAGAAATAGGCGGGTTTGCTGGTGGTAGCACGAATTGTTGGACCCGTTATCAGCACATCTTTCATACTCAATTTACCCTCTTTTTAATACAGGGTATTTGCTCTTTCTCTGAAATTAAGTCATTATAACTAACCGTAATTGAGACTAGCAGACACTTAATATCACTTAGCTAATACGTTTACGTTCCTCATCAGTAGGGGTTTTTCTTATTGTTACATTTATTTTTACCTTATCTCTCCCTCACTCGAAACAGAAAACGGATCTAATCAGTCTTCAAACATTTTAAGTGTGAATGTGGACAAGTATGTGGAAACTTAAGCAAGTTCAACAATGTCAAACTAAGTGCAAATTAGAATAAATACAAATTAAACACGCCTGTAGAGAAAGTAGATTATACGAGAACGGTAGATAACTGCAGCGAGCCGAAGTATAAATACTCTTCCTGCTCTACCGAAAACTGAATTGTTAGTTTCGCTAGATAATTCCCAATAAACAAAAACTTAAACTTTTTTCGAACACATTTTATAGTTGAAATGCTCCTTTCCACAACTTTGCAAGTAATAACTACAATTTAATAGTAACTTTAACTAAAAAATGTAAAATACAAGTAAAAACATCAAAAGCAAAAAATAGCTTCATATATCAACATTTTACCATTTATTATAATTCCAAAATTGGAATCAAAAAATTAATAAATGTTTTATCATTTATCAGTGTTTATTAAGGCATCACTATGTTCATCTCAAACCATTTAAAAGTATGAGTTTGTGCAGTTTCTTCCAGCTAGGGAAATATGTATGAATATGTAGTGAATATGTATGTGAAGACTAACTACAGAAAAGATTCGAAAAAGTCGTAACCTTTTAGTGCCTGACTTGATGTGGGTCTTGGTACATATCGCCTAAGTGAAAGAAAATCCAATTTGTTACTTACCTTACAGTTAGTAACAGTTCGAAAAACAATAAGAAAGAAAGGAAACGTCGGCAAGTCGAAGTTTATATACCCTTGCAGCTATTGCCAAAATAAAATATATAAATCAAACAAAAACACCTCTTGACAAGGTAAAAATGATCGATCGCATCTTCCACTCAAATAACTTCTGATATGACATTTTGGTTTTTCACCAAAAAAAATTAGATTATTTGTATTCAATTTGTTTTGGAATCGGCACGCTACTTTAATGGTTAGGTAACAAGGCTGATTTTGATTTCAACCATTTTAAAGCAGCGTGCCTCGTCAAGAGTTCATATATCCTTGCAGAGGGTATTATAATTTCAGTCAGAAGTTTGAAAGTGAATGAGACATTTCCGACCCTATTAAGTATATACATATATTCTTGGTCAGCGTCTCTAGGAGAGTCGATCTAGCCATGTCCGTCTGTCCGTTTCTACGCAAACTAGACTCCCAGTTTTAAAGCTATTTGCATGAAACTTTCCCAAAAGTTGTCTTTCTATTGCAGGTAGTATATAAGTCGGAACGAGATATAGTAATGGTTAAATATTTCAGAATTACGGTTTAAATTTAATCGAAATCGGACGACTATAGCATATAGCTCCCATAGGAACAATCGGAAAAACAATAAAAAAATCTAATTTTGCTTTTTAAAAATTTTTTTAATGCTTCGACATATAATATTGGTTAAATATTTCAGAATTACGTTTTAAATGTCATCAAAATCGGACGACTATATCATACAGCTCCCATGGAAACAATAAAAATACAAAACTTAAAAAATGTAACTTTTCTATTTTGTAATTTTTGTTAATTCTTTTTGACTTATTATGTCCCTTTCTTGTTTTAATCCATTTTCCCAACTAGCGGGCTTTTTAAAAATGGTAAAACACAGGTTTTTTTCTTTTTAAAGGCTTCTTCGAAGCCAAATGAATTTCTAAAAATCTTAGTATTCGCAAACTGTTATAAAAGTGGGACCTTTTGATAGCCTTATCAGTTTTTAAGATCGGACTATTCTTAACTGACTTCGAACATTGTGGCTATATTAGTAATCGACTTGCGCACGCTTACTGGTTCTCGAGGCTGGTGATATCGATTTATATTAACATCTGATAGCAAATTTTGTGACGAAAATGAATAAGCAAGTGTTTTTATTTAGTCGAATGCTTATTCATTATTCGTCACAAAATTTGATATCATAAATTCTATATGTGTAAGGTGCGATCGTCACGACCTTTTTGCCTCGTTAAGAGGTGTTTTTGTTCGATATCAGAAGTTTTTGTTTGAAATATAGGCAAAGTACCCCAATATTGTGACCATGGTTTTTACAAAAAAATCTTTTACCTACCCTTCAGTATTAATTTTGTATTAACAAACCAAACTTAACAAGACTTTAAAGCTTAACTAAAGGAAGCAAACTTCGGCAAGGCCAAGCTTATATACCCTTACAACTATTCCAAAAATTTAAATTTTTCAAAACAACAATATTTAGATCTTTATGCTTTTTAATGGCACTTATGATTTGTCTGTAGCTAACTAGTTTAGAAGTTTTTAGTGATTTCCCGCAAATTAAGCTAGTTTTTCAAAATGTCAAGAACAACCTTTTTTTTAATGACTTGCCCAACACAAAAAAATGATTCCAGAATTCTAAATAAGTCCTTACAATTTTTTGAAATTGAGAAACGATATAGAAAAAATTTGTATTTTTTAGATATACCAAAAAAAAAAATATTTTTGAACGGAAAAATTTGGTGTCATTCGACGCGTATTTGGAATAAAATCTAAACTGTGTTAAAAAGTGGAATGTTTTACCAACCCAACCCTACATTAACAAACAAAATAATCAAAATTTGCGTTACATTAAAATTCGGTTTTATGTAAAATAACTACATAAAACTATTATATTTCATGGTATCGCTTAAACGTTTTCTTATATTTTGAATAAAATTAATTTAAGCACACTCTTCCAAAAACCGTTTCTTTAAGTCCGTTATGGATGATAACGGCGTTTTGTGGACACGGTGGTCCAACTCACTCCACAAAAATCCAATGGGATAAAGATCAGGAGATTGGGCGCCATTTCCAAGACATTTGGTCCGTTTTGGATAACTCTTGGGCAAACTTTTTCCTCAAGTTTCGGTTGCGCTCAGACAGCAAAGGCTTTTTCCGAGCAACTCTGCCATTAAACCCTTGTTTTTTTTATTGATAGGTCAAATGGTTTACTCTGAAACGGGTTTTCCGTGATCGGCAAAGAGTTCAGCCGTCAAATTCGGCGCACTTATTCGAGAATTTTTTTTGAGCTACCTAATGGTTTCGGCGTCTTCACGCTTAGTCAATTTTTTCGGTTGTCCCTTTTGCCTAATTGACACCAATCTTCACTCATTTTTAAAGCGTCGGACGATGTCACCCACCGTATTCGTCTTCATTTCGAGGATTTGGGCAGTTTCCTTATATGTCTTGCCTTGCAAATGCAGCTGGAAAACAAGTTTTCGCTTCTGCATTGACAAGTTTTTGCTTTTGGGGCCGATTTAAAATTCGGTACTACAACTCAATTATGTCAATTATAGTCAGTCAGATAATAGCTTTTCTGGAAACCCCATTTATTGCGCCTTATTTGGCTTTTTGGAATTGCCAAAGAATTTTTTTACGACTTCCCAAAAATACCGAATATTAAAGTAATGCATATTTTAAGTTTGTTTTTGTTTCAATATGTATCATCTTTAAATTTTAAATAAAATAATATAATATATATATATCGATGAAAAGGTAACTTTCAAAGCTTTTATACTCCATTTTAAAAATTGTTTTTGTACCCCACTGACGGACAGACGGACATGGCTAGATCGACTCGTCTAGTGATGCTGATCAAGAATATATATACTTTATAGGGTCGGAAATGTCTTCTTCACTGCGTTGCAAACTTCTGACTGAAATTATAATACCCTCTGCAAGGGTATAAAAATTATAAGTTTGCTGTTTCTTAATTTTTTTTTAGTTCTTTGACATATAGTAATGGTTAAATATTTTAGAATTACGGTATATATTTCATCAAAATGGGACGACCATAACATAAAGTTGCCATAAAAACAATAAAATTATAAAAAAAGAAATTTATGAAAAATGTAACTTTTCTATTTTGAATTTTAATTTTACTTTATTGACTTATTATTATTAATCAATGTTTTTAAAAATATACGCTGGTAAATCATAATCTTAATGTTTTCAAGAATATTTCATTTTTGCAAAAGCTGCAAGGGTATATGAAATTCGGCTTGCCGAAGTTTGCTTCCTTTCTTGTTATTCAAATAGTTTCGTAATCGGCACAAAGCTGCACAATGGAATCAGCTTTATTACTCTACATTTTCAAAGCAGCGTGCCGATATCAAAACTAACTGAATAAAAACAAAGGAATTTTCTTTGGTAATATAAATAGTATTCGTCACAAAATCTGATATTAGGAGTTTTTAGAGTTGAAGGTGCGATCGTCACGTTAATTTTACCTCGTCAAGAGCTGTTTTTCTTTGGTAAATATATATCTATATATATATGATAACTATTTTTAAATTGTTTTAATACAATTCAGAATTTAAAATTGTATTTTATTTAGAATTAATGTGTCTCGATTTACATTTCATTAATTATAATTAATTAATTAATTAATTAATTAATAATTAATAATTAACATTGATTGAAAGTGTTGCTCAAGTCACTGAAAGACCCAGTCAGCCCAGTGCTATCTACGAAAGTGCACATCACTCATACGCCCTTTAGAACGAAGAAATAACCAAAACAAATGCAATAAAACTTGGAGCACAAAGCGGACGAGCGAAATGCAAAAAGCAATTAAACAAGGCGGAAGCGAGACCAAGGCGCACTGCAACTCGGTCGAACTGCAACTCGAACAAGTTGCAAGGCGACTGCAACTGGCAACACAACTACACTCAAGTGCAGCGAAAGCGGCTACACCAGCGAAAGGGGGAAACAACGCCGCCGAGCCAGCCAATGTGTGTGGACTGCCTATGTACAAGTCCGTCCGTATGTCTGCCAGTGAGTGTTGCTGCTTGTTTGTGTGTGTTGGTGTGCAGCCCCCACATTTCTCCAAATGCACGCAGCGCCGACTGTGCACAGTGGTTCGAAACACGGAGGTTTTCTGTTTTAATGTTTCAAATCGGGTGGTTTGATGGTCCTGGCGAACTATATAAAAGGTTTCTAATTTTTGTTTAGATAATTAACATTATGATTACCAAACTAAGGAAGTAAAATAAGAAAAGTCATTTAATTTTTGGTAGGAAACTTGAAGTCTTTTTAATTAGTTAGGTTTAAAGTTATTTAATTTAAACTAGATTAAAAGTTTTAACAAAGAATAACTGAGGACATTTGAGAGATCATACTTGCCTGTTATAATTATTTTTTTAGCATATCAGGCAAAATTAAAGAGACAATGTCGAAACCGATATAAAAAATATTTAAATGTACGTCTGAACATTTAAAATATTATTTTAAATGCTGACTTAAAATTCTTTTCGCAAAACCTATGTAAGCAAACGCGCGTCGTAGGATTTTCAAGGACTTCTGAGGCAGTGTGTCACAGTTTGCGTGTTGCTCTTGCTCTCTCGATGCGACTTTCGGTTCCGTTTCGTTGGCGGTGCCCGCTTCCACGCGCACACTGGCAAACATCGCACACATTCGCATATTCACATCCATCCACATACACATCCGCGGCCGGGCACCAATACTGGCGCACTGCCGACCGCTGTGCTCGGCGCTTTTTAGTTCTTTGCATCCGCGTCTTGCGGCCCAATGTGAGTTGCCTTGTGCATGCCAAAGATTTCAGATCGGTCAGCAGCAGCAGAAGCAAAAGCTCGGCTCGCGACTTGCGGAACGTTTTTGAGAAGTTAGTTGTACGGATAAATACCAGGTCTAAGCGACCCTATAAATATTGATTTTTCACGTTACTACTATCGTTGCTGACTTAATCATCCAATCGGACTGCAATTGGTTTATCAGTGGCGCGTTTTACCGGCGGCTTTTTGCAAGGCGATCGCAATCTTGCAAGTTTTAAGCGTGATTTTTTGTTTGTTGTGTGACGATTATAAATTGAAATTTTAATAGATACAGCTTAAAGCAACTGTATGTTCGGAATTGTGTAATCCAAGTGTTGTCTGTGAAATTCTTCAAAGCTAAGCCTGCCGTTTATTCCACTATATCATCAAAAGCAAGCCGGCCATTAACACAATCTTAACCATAACTAATAAGTCCCTTAAAGAATATAACGTTTTCTTAAAATCTAAAATTATTGAAAATAAACATAACTTATTTTCGAATGCTATTAAAGCATTATTTAAATAAAGTATAAAGTTGTTTAACATATTTATATTCTAAACAGGTAATTTGCAAATTTTTTATTAAATAATTTCTTAAAGTTTTTGGACAAATTTAAAATCATTAACTTTAAAATTTTGTTAACATATAAATTTTGTATTCGTTTTTATGTTTTAAGATTAAGCATTAACATATTTTAAAAGTGTATATTTAATTTTTTTGTTTAAAACGTTTTTTAACTGATACCAAAGATGTTCCTAAACAAATCAAAATTTTTGTTTTTTGTGACAAGATAGGCCAAGCTTATTTAGGCACACCATTTTATTTACGATAACAATATAATGTACAGATAATTTAAAAAAATAGTCTAAAATTAAATAGTTTAAATAACCACCTTCTTCCTTAAAAGTTCTACAAGTTTTTAGTTGTAATACCCATGACGTCATACCGAAAATTAATGATTGAGTTTTCATGAATCATTCCCGATCGGCAAGATTTTTGATATTTCCCTACGGGAAATATTTCGAAAATGTATGAGAAACTCAAGGGGTCTGAAGCTAATAGTATACGACTGTAGTATGAAGAAAAAATAACGAATGTAATTATTAATTTAATTATTTTTACCGGATCGTTTATATACAGTTTCAAAATATAGTCAGTTTGTCGAGATTTTTTAGTATGAACAATTCACATTAAACAAGAAAAGAAGTAAACTTCGGCAATCCTAAGTTTATATACCCTTGCAGTTATTGCAAAAAATTAATATTCTTTAAAACATTTAATTTCCGAATTATATGCGTTTATGTTCAAAATCTTTAAAGCTAAGATGACTTTCAGCTCATTTATTTGGTCGTTTATATGACAGCTATATGAAATAGTTTTTCGATTTTAACAAAATGAAAAGCGTTATTCTGAATTACTAAAGTCGAAAAGATTTTGAAAAAGTTTGAAAAATAAAGATGTTTAAAATTTGTTTTTAATTCATTTTTTTTAATGTTCCGAAAAAACAGTAAAGTTAACAGTATCTTTTTAGTTGTTTTTACGGTCATCAGATGCGGCTCGATTCCACTTTCTATAGGCAAACAACTTTTGGGAATGTTTTATGCAGATAGCTTTAAAACTGAGAGCCCTCTCCAATCGTATAATTTAGACGAACTTACAACTTATTCGACAAATTAAAATTTACTGGAGCATACGCCTAGGAACTAGGACCATATTTACCAAAATGGCTAGCTTCGTTTTTAAATGTTTTATTTCTTAGCAGCGCAAAATGAACATAATATCAAAATATTTTTAACGACTCCGAATTACGCAAATATATTTTCAGTATATTTATTATTATTTTTTTTTAGCTTAAAAGCCTTGGGAAATTTATGTCTATCCAGTTCAAAGAGTCAAAAGTTAACCAATTTTTCACACACTCTTTTTGGCAACTATTTGACAATGATATTTGATGCCGTGACAATTAATTTCTTCTATCAATACAATGTATCTGCATATCCGACTCCGCCTTCGAGTTGTTACTAATATCCAAAATGAATCTATGTCTTGTGTTCTTATACAAATAGGGCGGGGCCGATCGAATCAAAATTATATATCATATTTTATTACCTTAAAACACGCAATATCCCAGGCCGATCAAAGAGAATTTTTGCTGCCCAGCACTAATAAAGCTTTTCATTCGGAGCGAGGTGTAAGCTAAAATATAGCAAACATTTAAAAAAAAAACAAAATTATTTGTTTGTTACCGCTGGCCAAGCATGTACAAAAAAAGAAAATACAATTTTCTCAACCGATAATAAATATTTGCGTCTGTTGCTTAACGCTTTGCGGCAGGTGGAAAGTAAATGCATGCATCGGAATTTCATTAGCTTAGCAAGAGAGTAGTTGTATAAAAATAGGCTAATTAACTTATTACTTATTAACAAATATTTGCATATTATTTAATTTTTGACTCAAACCTATACAAGCCATTAAACAACACATATGAACATTTTCTCTTTCCAGATGCTTTCAAAATAATATTAAAACATCAAATAATGAATAAACAGCAAAGTGAAACATAAATTTTTCAATTATCTAAAGACACACTTAAAAAATAATACTAAAATCTATCAATCTCTCAACTTGGTATATAATATTTCTAAATAACTAAATGTTTGTCAGAAATAACGTCTATATGCTCGATAACTTAAAATCCCTGAGAATAAACTTTAAACTCTAGTTAGTTAACCCTAGAAAATGCTTCAAAAATTAGCTTGAAGCTAACATTAAACATAGACTTTCGAACACTTAAATAGGATACCAGAAACTGCAGACATGGTTTCGGAGGAGAACTGGAATAGCGACACTATGTCCGACTCGGACATGATCGACTCGAAGAATGACGTCTGTGGCGGCGCCTCCAGCTCCAGTGGGAGCTCCATCTCGCCCAGGACGCCGCCCAACTGTGCCCGCTGCCGCAATCACGGCCTGAAGATCACCCTGAAGGGACACAAGCGGTACTGCAAGTTCCGCTACTGCACCTGCGAGAAGTGCCGACTGACGGCGGACCGCCAGAGGGTGATGGCCTTGCAAACGGCCTTGCGACGGGCCCAGGCGCAGGACGAGCAGCGGGCACTGCACATGCACGAGGTGCCGCCCACCGGCACGGCCACCACCACTTTGTTGGGTCACCATCACCATGGCGCTGCCCCTGCCCACGTCCACGCCCACCACGTGCACGCACATCACGCCCACGGACACCACTCGCATCACGGTCATGTCCTGCACCACCAGCAGGCAGCAGCGGCAGCAGCCGCCGCCGCAGCAGCCCCGACGGCCCCGGCCTCCCATTTGGGTGGCTCTGCCACGGCGGCCTCTAGCCTCCATGGCCACGCCCATGCCCACCACGTCCACATGGCCGCGGCAGCAGCCGCCTCAGCGGCCCAGCACCAGCACCAGAGCCACCCACACGCGCACCACCATCACCAGCACCACCTCCAGCACCCGCAGCAGCAGGCGCCCCCGCAGCAGACGGCGCTGCGGTCTCCGCCGCATAGCGAACACGGCGGCAGTGTGGGTCCGGCCAGCAGCAGCTCGGGCGGTGCGTCGGCCAGCTCGAACAACGCCGCAGCGGCCACCTCGAGCAGCGGACCTAGCAACGGCGCAGGAACTAGCAACGGCGGCACCAGCTCCGGAAGCGCAGTAGCGGGAGGAAGGTCCTCGGGCACATCGGTGATCACCAGCGCCGACCACATGACTACTGTGCCAACGCCCGCACAGTCGCTGGAGGGCTCCTGCGACTCGTCCTCGCCCTCGCCATCGTCCACTTCCGGCGCCGCCATTTTGCCGATCTCAGTTTCCGTCAACCGCAAGAATGGCGCCAATGTGCCCTTGGGTGAGTGCCTAATAAATACTGCAGAATAAACACATCAATGTGTAACAAATTTCCCATGTGCTGAGCGCAGAAACATTGATTTTTGCCAAAATGTTCGTTTCTTACCATAGAAACGCATTTCACCCACCGCTGACACCAGGTGGAAATTATACCGTTACGAGCGCTGCTTAGAAAGTAAGCGATGGCCCAACTGCCTTTGTATGTGTTAAAACCTAGTCCGAAACTTGATCTCGCGTTGGCTTTACTTCCCAAATAGCAACTTACCAAATATAATGGTCCCAAAAACAACTTACAATTTATATATTTTTTTATTTAAACGACTAAATTTTGATTTTTATGCATAATTTAAAAGCCGTGCCGATTTATCGCTGAATTTTTCAATCGTTCCTAACTGAGTCAGAGTTTCTCGAACGAATCACTCGAAATCGTTAAAAATTTCGTGTCCATTGCGATTTAAACAGTGTTACTATACAGCATTTTTCGAAATAAAATTGTTTAAAATTATATTAACAATAAAAACTTTTTGCCACATTATTTTTTATTGAAAATCGGAAAAATGCAAAAGAATTACAAAAAAAAATAAATTGAAATTTGAGAAGTTCAAATTATGTTTTCGGTTTTTTTTAATATTCCGACTGTTCCCACAAGAGCTATATGAAACAGTCGTCTGATTTTCATAAAATTTAAAGCGTAATTCTAATTATATCTAATTATAATTATATCTATAACAATTTATACCTTGCTGGTATTGTATTTAGTCCTTCAAAAATTTTAAAATTTTAATACTTCAGAATTACGGTTCCATATTTATTAAAATCGGCCGACTTAACATACAGATCACATGGAAACAATAAAAATTTTAAAAACAAACTCTATTTTTTAATTTTTTCAAAAAATTCTTTTAAACATCGTGTTGGTTAAATAGTTCAGAATTACGCTTTTAATTTTATTAAAATCAGAAAACGATATCATAATTGAGAAAAATCATCATAACTTCAATGTTTTCAGTATATACACTTATAAATCGATATTTAGATGTTTTAAGGAATATTTAATTTTTGTAATAGCAGCAATAATATTTATATAGTCTTCCCTTTCGTTTTTATAATGGCAACATACAATTTTGTTCACTGTATAAAGGGAGAATAACTAAAATAAATTTGCTTTTAACAGGACATATATTTAAATCAATTTGAGCAAAATTATTGCTATTACTGCGCCAGATCCCAGATCCCGACCGTCAGTGATGTTGCACTGTTCTATTACATTTAATTAGGTTCGTGTTCATTGGTCTAAAGATTGTATAATGAATCGTGAAACTTGCTTAATCTGTGATCTGTGCAAGCATCTAGCCGTATTTAAGGCTCATTTAGTAAAGTGCAGAGGGAAAATTGAAAATAAAACACACACAAAGAGTTGCACAGAATTTTCATCCTGGGCCCGTCCCCACACAGAGTCTGGCTAGGAGTGGCCGTGCATCTCGCGCCTCTAAATGATTGCCACCTAATTATAGGCCGCAAATGCCGCGCTGGGAGCAACGTGGACAGATCCATGAATCCACGCGGTGTCTCGGCACGTACCATAGGCATCTGGGGCAAAAACTCCTTCGACAGAAGGCCTAATCAAGTTGTTGTTCTCGGGGGCCAGACTGGTAAACAACAAAATAAGCCAGCTGGAAAGCATTTACGAACGGTTTCGACTTATACATACCCACTTTGCAAATATAACTAAGACCAAAAACTGACTTTGACTTTTACTTAGACTAAATTAATATACATTACTCCAAACCCTAAACAAAATTAGTTCTTCGTGAAAAGCGACATTTCCTCCGAATAGTATATTTTTAAAAATAGTGAAAAACCTTTTTTTAAATCGCGATTTTTTAAAGTATTCAATATGGATGTCGTTAGAATATATAATAATATAAAGAATATATAATAATATAAAATATATAAAAGGAATTTAATTATTTTTTAAATAATGGTAATCCTTAAAGCTTGATTCCGAAGATAATATAATTAACATAAATTGAAAAAATTGTAACTCTCTCTAACTCTAACTCCCCAGTACACAAATACTGAATACTAAGTGAGAAAAGGAAGGCATAGCCACGTTGGTGATGGCTCATGAATATATTAATTTACTTTGATACACCAAGCTGTCAACAGTTGACACCTGATTGCAGCATTGCCTCCTATTCTTAATTTATTGATATAATGGCACGATCTTAAAACAGTTAAGCTTAATTGATGTGTGGGAAAAATTCATTTTGAATTTTCAATTCATTTTTCGAATGTTGCTCAGTCACTACTCGTATACTCTAAATTTAAAGCTTCATTAAGTTTTAATGTTATAACGTTTAAATAACATAACAAAGCGGACTTCCTAAAATAAAAAAATACATTTCGGTGATATAAGATTAAAGATAATTCAAAGTGCAAGTAGACATACTCACATAAATGAAGATAACTACTCTTTATGAATTATTCTCTTTATAAAGCAATCCATTACTTTATCCGTTGACTCCTCATGACCAGCACTAATGGTCACTGTTCCCAAGAACATTGAATTGCCATATCATAGGGCCCCTGATATAAAAGATCATTAGGAGCTAAATTCAGTCTGGGGGGTGTGGATTCGTTGCATCAGGTGCATTGAGGACCAACCAACGCTCCGATGACCACGTTCCTCTAATTGCACCTCGGCACACGATTCAGCATACAAATGCAGCATAATCTTCGGTCAATTACAAGCAGGCCTGTCAAGACAATCCAACATGACCATTCATCACTGTGCTAAGCAGGCATGAAACTTTTTCACAGTTGCATTTTGCACTCGCCGATGACTTATTTATGCATATTATCAGGGTGTAATGACAGCCAGACATGGATCGTTTAGCATAAGAGCGGACAATACGACCGATGTCTCTGCACTACAGGCAGTTCGTCAATCAATTGGACACCGCTCCAGCTCCCTCAGATCCGATCCCCGGCGGTCTCCAGTAGTAAGGTTGTGGCCCCGATGTCTACACGCGTGTAAACTCACTCGTAATCTCCATCGCCGGCACGGAGCTAACTAACCCGTCTTCAAACAGGAACCGAGATCGGGTTTGGTTCGCTAGCAACTTTGTTGCACAGTTTCCTAGTCCCCCAAAACGGGTCGGACGGCTCATTAGTTTAGGTTTAGCCTGCTGCCCACACTGGCGCTGCCCGACTCCGGGATTAGTCATGCCGACCGCGATTCACCTCCAGACGCGAGGTTACACACTTGGCACTTCTGCATGGGTCTGCTGCTCCTCCGGCACAGGTTCTGGCACCAGGGGTATCATTTTGTCATTAATTTTGATGAGTATCGTACTGATAGTGGTTGAGTGCCCATATTGTCGAACAGTATATCGCTCTAGTATCTGAGTTCAATTCTTTGTCCGAGTCTTTTCTGTATTGAAGACAACTTGAAAACCAACAGGCTAACTCGATTAGTGCATTTTAAACATCAGGTTGAAACTGTGTTTAGATGGGTAAGAATTTCTGATTAAAAATTCTATGAATTAACCTTAAAATGGTTTTAAATTGTTGTCCTTTTTTTAGTTTCTTCAGACAATTTGTTTTTTTTTCATATGCGTAATATTGTAAGTCATTTCAAGGGTCTGATTTTCATGGAACTTTTTAAGGTTTTGGGTTTTGAAAAATTTTACGTTTTTCTGAAGTTACAAAGTTACAAATTTTTGACACATTTTGAAAGAGTCAATTTTTGTTTTATTTTTATATATATGTCTTATAAAAATATTTTATATATGACTATACAAAAATGCTTTTTTCGACGATTTGCCATACAAAAGTTATAATAATGCTATTGTACACCCAGAGAAAAACCCAATAGTAAAGTAAAACATTCAAATATATGAATATAACATTGTTCTTAAAAATAGAAAATTACTTAAAGTAATCTAAAAACATGATTTTGTAATAATTTATTAAATAGGTTTTTCCAATAATTAAATTGAAGATTTAAATTCCTTTTTTTGTTTTAAAACTATTGATATCCATACTTACAAATAAAAATGAAAGTGTAACACACTTTGATTTAAACACAACACTCCTCGGGACTAAATCCGTACCGAAAATATTTAATTCAAAGTGAAAATATTTGGTCTTAACATGATTTTTCTCTGGGTGTAATATTAGTCATTAGTTTTCAACGCAGTGGATGTTAAACTAAGACCGTATAAGGTGTATATTTTTTCAAGCACCATCAGTCAAATCCTAATGCCAGTTAGCCAATTTCTGCGCAAACAATTCTCTACCGAGTCCAGTTTTAAAGATAGCCGAATAAAATTTTCCCAAGAGCATTATATGAATCAGAACGGGTCGAACAAATTTATATATAGAGGTCATTGGTCAATTTATTTTACAATCTGGAAAAACGGCTTATCCTAAATAGTTTTCGTCTAAATGCATGCTACTGTGTAAATCATACATCGAAAAAATACTCTTTGACAAAATTATGTAAATTACAGAACAAACAATATATACAAACATATATTCTACTCAATGGTATTATTAATAAAATAATTGCAAATGCACTTCATTTCGACATCAAAGGAAACGAAATGTTTAGCTAAATAAGAAAATAACACAAAAAATGTATGTCATTAAATATAAAAAAAACTTTGTAAACATATAAAAGGGAAGGCAAACAACTTAAATATCTTCAAACTCGATACGACACAGGTAGCGTGCTTACAAAGTCCAGGTAACCATGACCGACAATCGATAAACTTCGACTTCAGTTAATTAATTTAATGGGCTGTGCTAATTTTGATCTCCTAAGACAGGCAGCGCTCTTGGCCAGGCCCAAAGGCTGCCAGACCATCTCTCAGTTGTCTGTCTAGAACATTTAGTGCCGCCGATTCGGCTGAAAAACCTCTGGCAAAAAACAAAAACTTAGCTGCGCTCGTAAAATAAAGTTGTAAAATGTATTTTTGGTATATTTGCGGGCTC